GTTCTCAATCGCATCTGTGTCCTGATGTATTTTAAGCCTTTCTTGTGGATCAAAATTCAGAAATGAGGCAGAAGGTGTACTTTGGGCCAGGAATCAGACTGGATTGGTAGCAAACCACAACAGGGTTTGATTTTATGATAGCTCAGACACCTCATGAGTTATCCTTGATGAATAGAAGTTGTGTGAATTGCAATACTGAGAGCTTAGTGTGCCAAGACACACTGCTTCAGGGCTGTAAGTTCAATGCAGTGTTTTACTTATTCATTAGATCAGACACTGAAGAACTGGGTTTGATTGTAAGATCTTTAGGACCAAGACCACCTAGTTGTTTGTACCATGCATATTTCAGTGGAATCTTACTCTGATTTGAGCCTCAGGGTGTACTACTAAACAAATGAGTAACACAGGAGTCAGTATCACAATCATGTTGATATGGAACACATTGGAAGATTTTTCTTTTCTACCCTTGACTAACGTCCCATGGTTCTTAATAATATTCCAAGGTGCCATCTTTGCTCTGGAAACGTAAGTACAAACCTTGTATGCACATTATTTTTGTATCTCCTGCCCACCTCCATTGAATGTCTCTGCAGTCCCTTCCTCAGAGAGATTTTAATCTGCCTGCAAAAGGTAACAGAATGTCATTGCTGTGTTGCAGCCAGTTGAAGTAGTCAGAACAGTTCTTCAATAAATGCATCAAAAAGAGAGAAACAAGGTGTGGTTGGGTTGGCCCTCACACTAGCAGCCAGTTTCCTACCCAGCTGCTCAGTCACTCACTCCCCCCTGCCCTCTGCAACAGGACAAGGGGAGAAAAGAGGAAAAACAGGAAAGAGAAAGCTTGTGGGTCAAGATAAAGATAGGGAAATTGCTTACCAATTACTGTTGCAGACAAAACAGACTCAAATTGGGGAAATTAATTTATTGCCAATTAGAATAAACCATTACTGATTCAGGTAGTGGGAAACAAAAACAAGAAAAAGAAGAAACTAACATTTACACACTTAGAGAAAACACTTTTCCTTCACCTTTCCCAGGATCAAGTTCACTCCAAGCACCTCTCCTCCACTCCTTGTTATCGCCACAGGTTACACTCAGTCCCTTCAGTGAGGCAATGGGCAGCCCTGTCTTCCTTCTCACTCTTTTCCTCTGCTGCAGCGTGGGTCCTCCACAGGCTGCAGGGAATATCTGATCCACCATAGAGCACCTCCTCCTCCTCAACCTCCTCCTCCTCCTCTGGCCTTGGTGTTCCCTCTGTTGTTTTTCACTCTTTTTATTCTGTCCTCCTCTCTCTGACTTACTTTGCTCTTTCTTAAATACGCTTTCCCAGAGGCACCACCACCTTGGCTGCTGGGCTCAGTTGTGCCCTGTGGTGGGTCGGTTGGAGCCGGCTGGGACCAGCTGTGTCTGGCACGGGGCAGCCCCGGCCTCTCCTCACAGAGGCCACCCATGCAGCCCCCCACTGCCAGCGCCTTGCTATTTATACCCAATACACAAGGTGTGACCTCCTCTGTAACAAAGTGGAGAGAAGCTGTCCCATCAAGAGCAGTGGAGGTCTTTTGTAGATATCTCACCCCACCAGCAGAGTGATCAGATCACCGCAGAGATCATAATTGAGGAGAACCGCCAGAGGGTCATGATGGAAGAAGAGGAAACCACTCAAAGGCAGTGGGAACACTTGAGCTATTGGGAGGGAAGGGGCAGGGCAGGCAAATTTCCACTGGTGTTGGAGAGCAGGCCGCAACTGAAGCTGGTGGGAAAGACCTCTCAAACCGCTCAAGACCTCTACTTTCTCATTGTGTTTGCCCGTACCACAGCCTGATGCCTGGCAGGAATGCAGCTCTCAGATTTTGAATAACAGGGTGGGCCAGGGACTGCTGGGCTGGGCTGCAGCAAGGACTGCAGCTACCTTGTAGGCCCTCTTTGGCCTGTTCAGGACGCTGGTTGAGAGAGTCCCTTGGGAGACGGTCCTGAAGGGCAAAGGGGTCCAGGAAGGCTGGACGTTCTTCAAGAAGGAAGTCTTAAAGGCGCAGGAGCAGGCTATCCCCATACGCCGTAAGAAGAACGGGCAGGGAAGACGACCAGCCTGGCTGAACAGGGAGCTCTTGCTGGGACTCAGGAAAAAAAGGAGAGTTTATCACTTGTGGAAGAAGGGCCGGCAACTCAAGAGGAGTACAGGGATCTCGTTAGGTCATGCAGAGAAGAAATGAGAAAGGCAAAAACCCAGCTAGAAC